GTTATTTCATTAAACGTATTTAAATAAATTTATAAAATAAATTACTCATTTAATATGCAATTCACTATAAAAAAAACTTGAATCTCTAATAATAATAATAATAAAAATAACAATAATTCCATAAAAAAAATAATAACAATAATAATAATAAATCAAATAAATACACAATCTTACGTATCGTTATCGCCATATTGTTTATCAAGTTAGTTAAATTAAAACCACAAAGTCAATATGAATTAAAGATGAGGCAAATGTCAATCATTTTCGCTTTTCATGTAAATTCATTATCTTACGGAACCCCGGCCCCAGCGCAGGTTGTCTCCTAGTGAGGCGACCCTCTATAGTCTATCCCCGTCACCCCTTGCTTATAAATATCCCAAAAAGTTCCTCCGGTTCAAGAAAAAAAATCGTTATACCTACCTCTTTCTTATTTATTTATTTATTAAATATTAAATAATGTGTTATATAATAAAAAATTAATAATATTTTTTTTCTTTTAAGTCCTATTCACCAATTTTAAAATTAAATTAAAATTTTGAGTTAGCATTACACTCCTTTTAGCAGGGGTGTTATGTTACAAACCAATTTTTATGTAGCAAAGACTAAAATCATCACACGCTAGACACTAAAAATTGTATGTTACTTATAATTTATTGGTTTAAGTAGAAGAAAATTAATTTTTTTAAAATAAAAATTTAAGTTAAAATTTTATAAATGAATAAATAGATATTAAAAAAATTCTTTTATAAGATTCAATTTGATTCAACTTCAAAATAATTAAAATCTAATATTAATTTGGAATCTAGAAAGTTAGTACAAAAAAATATCATATATCAAAATATAAGTGAAGTTCAACCTTTCGGTTGTTACACAAATATCAATCATTTCCCTTTCATCTCAACAATGAGAACTTAATGCCAATTATCAGTAATCTTGTCTGAATTTTTCTTGCTTCACATTTAATCATACTTTTTTAAATACAAATGAAATATCTAACCAATTAAAGCTTTGATTTGAACTGCTTTTACAGACCACCTTTTTCTTTTTCTTTTTTTGGTAATATTGTATCTAAAAATATAAATTTATTATAAATAAATAATTTTAATTAATATTTTATATGTTTTTAGATAAAAATAAAAAAACCTATAATCCTATTATAGCCTAACACAATATAATACGGCCAACCAAGACTAAAATTATATCTAAAATTATAAATTTATTATAAATAAATAATTTTAATTA